GAAACAGGATTATGAAGTTTTACGTCATCGATAATTCGATGACTATTCTCAAAATTGTATAATTAGTTATACAAATCGTCTAAATGGTAAATTAATTTCGCTGGCAGCTACCAAGACTAAACGTTATTGTTAACTAAGCACGAGAATTTATGTTAACATTCGCTACGTGGTAGAAGAGGATAATGGACGACATTAACGGTATTAATCTATACGCGTCCAACTTAAACACTTAACTTGAAGAACTTCAGACAGTTAGAGTTGCAGACTAAATACTGCAAAGTGTAAATGTGGATTAAATGTGCAGACAAGTATTTCCGACTTAACTGCGAGTATAAAATCAACAACATAGCAGCATATAATTTACGATTCTCATTATTTAAATCCGCAAATACTAATAAAAAGGTTAAAGGAACGAATTATCAATTTATTTTTTGCTTTGCTTGTTTATTACCACAAATTAAAGTGTAAAAAGCAACGGTAAACAAAAAGAAATACGAAACAAACCGCAAATAAAGATACAAAACAAAACTAAACAAATAGCGGACACAAGGAATGTAATAAAATTAAAATTACAGGAATTCGACTTGCGAATTACCAAATTAACAAACAAATCAACCGTGGTATGCATAGAATTACAGCATAATTAACCCATATTTACAACCGTACAACCTGAACTAGAGGTGTTCAGAAGGAGGAAGAGTAAGTAGTAGATAAGTACGTACAACAACCAGGAAATGATACTCAAGTGAGTAATGTGTACTTCTTTCTGGGGCATTAACTCGGAACTGAATAACTAAGAAACACGCAAACATCCTCTGAATTTTTCCTCTCCACATGTGTGTCGAGTATACAGCATGTTGCACGTACAACATGCCCTTCAGGTATAAAGTAAACTGTTGAAGATAATCACGTTTCATTAATGTGAAGCACTTTCTTTCACCTTCTTCTTTTCTTTAAAACATTCGTAGGAATACTGAAGTCTATAGCAAATAAAATGTTTCTATTGAACTTGAATGAGTGAATGAATGTGTGTCATCTCATCTAAATCGGATATTTTAATTTGTTGTTTTGTTGTTTAGTGACACAAGATCGTCTCAAAATAAAAAAGGCTGGCCATGTGACTGGAGACCCAGATACTCCGGCCTCACCCCACTTTTAGTCTTCGTCGACATGCAAGCTCGTCGTTTGCGAGGTACGCAACAACGCAACGCTTTCAGATTGAAGACAGATTTCCATCGTGGGCACGGCAAGAGATTCTCCGGCGATGCCGCAGTTTGCTTGCATTATTATGTGCTATCTCGGCGAGTTGTTGCAATGCACACGCTCTCGCCGCAGTGCGGCGCACGATTTCGTGCCAACGCGAACGCGCGCTTCATGGTTTAACCTCGATCGATGCCTCGATCTCTCAATGGCTGTCTCCGCTGCGTCTCGCGCGGAACGCATTAATATAATGAATACGAATCTACAACGCAGGCAGGTAGCATGGTGAGGAGTTGGATTCGTGGTCGTGCACCTGCCTAGAGTATACTGTATCAGGGGCAAACCCAAGCCGTAGCGTGTCCTGTATTCAAGTGAATTGCGAAGAACGCGACTTTCTTTCGCAATTATTATTTTATCGATAAATCTTGGCTTGGTTGGTTGTTAATGTGTGTTACAATCGATTGGAATTGCTATCTGAAAGTCATGTCTCCGCAAGCATTTATACAAAGTAATTCGGAAGATGGCAGATAAAATTACGAATGTTACACATTACACTCGTTTCAACCGGGTATAATTTAAAACAATTGACAAGCATTTGGGTTTAATTTAAAATTCAATTGTTTGCTTTTTGTTTCAACATCTTTATGTTAACTTGAAACCGGAGAAAACATTAGAGTAATAAAATTACACGTCGTATATCCAACAAATCTCGGTACTAAGAAGCGAATAAACAAACAGGCGAGAAGAAATCTGGAAAACTGGGACGAACAAACACAAAAGTTTAACCAGTTTGCTTGAAAACAAATAAACATAAAAGATCTAATCTGCTTGATTATAGTTTCATAGCCTACACATTAAAAAATTTTAAAGAAAAAGAGAAAAACGATTAACTAAATTCGTGTCGTTAAAAATTTTAAACTTCGTGAGATACATTTTATAGCTTATTCAAGAAAAGAATTTCTATAATACGAATGTTGAAATATTATTCTTGAAAATGATTGACACTAAACGACACATCGTGTCTATAAAGAGTAAAATATGTCCGCATCGGGGAATAACGGATAACAGTGACATGAAATGTCAGCGCATTGAATGCAGCCCTCTGAATGACATAATGCAAAATGGAAAAGCAGACGTGCGTATTACCGAACAAACAATTCGCGTAGGTATTGTACATCCGAATACAAATCAATAAATATTTGTAATTCGGTGAATATTCGACATGTGTCGCAGTGTACTCGTAGTTTGGTGGTTGTGGCTGTTCAGCTATGCAAATTAAAATAGACCGAACACAAACTCCAATGTAAACTATAGCTACGAAATATCAGCTTTGGGAATCGCCTGGTAGATGTGAGATGTGACACGTTGCAAAAGCATGCCCCAGGATCAAATATGAGAAAATCTAGTTATGTCGACGGGAGGGTCGTGCAAGCCGCATCGAAAATGTTACTAAAACGACGCAAACAAGATCGTACATAGACTGTACTCATATACCACTGTACTTAGGGCAGAACCGGATTATTTGACAAATAAACATAACATTTTAAAAACTGACAAAAAATATTCTTTCTTTATCTTATCATGAAGCCTAATGTATAAGTAATGTTTCTATAATAGATTTTAAATTAGTCCAACCCTGATTTAGCTCCTTGTTAATAAAGACATCTAGTCTAGACTTGAATAGACGGGTCTAGTTGACATCTCGCAAACACGTTACACGTAAGACAATATATCGGGGACATTTGGCCACGGCTGGCTTCACAAGTTCATTTGCTCATGTTTTACGCTCATTTAATGCTCAAAATAGTATCTAGACAGTTAAACATAGACAGCACCAACAAGTGATTAGAGATATCTTTAATTAAACATTTATTTCTTGTTTCTTATCACAAGAAACCTATAAACAAGTTGTTTATATTTCTATTTCTATAATGCCTGGAATCAGATAAGAAAAACAAAATTTTGCTCGTAGTTGTAATCCAGCGTTGCCAGGTATGCATCTTGACGTCGCCTTACCTATGCACCTCTTCCCACGTAGAAGTGGTTGGTAACTCGCATTGTATTTATAGAACACGTCTAAATAAGGGTTGTCGAAGTCACTATGGAAACCTTTCAGGTCTGTAGACGTAAACATAAGCCGGATTCGCTCATCGATAAAGCGTCTGGACATTTTAGTCACTAGCCCCTTATCCACCAAGTAAGGGTGCCCGAGGGTTTCGTGTTTCAGCAGAAAAAAATAAAACATAAATAACTCAACAAAAAACTTTGGATTGAATAAAGAAATCACAAGAAAATATATAGGCCTTTATAAAATCTCGAATTTCTTTTTTGTATCCAGATGTTACGATTTTTCATATAAACGAAAGTTGTTATATGAGACGAAGAAGTACTAAATCAAGCGTGAACCAAAAATTAAACCCAAGCATCATTGATTTTTCGGGATTTATTCAATCGTGCTAAAAATATCCGCATTTTCACACGACAATTTGATAATTAAACAAACAGATTAAATAGTTGGCATGTACAATTCTCGGATGCGATATGTGATTTATGGATGAGTAAATATTGATTACGCGTTAGCTGTTGGGTCGTTTATTGAAATTGAATGCGGGTTCGTGGGGATATTCTAATCAATATTTATTTAACTGCGTTCGTTGAATGGCTTTGATGGCCTTTGCTCGTACGTCGTTTCATCTTTCAACTGAAATGAATCTGATACACACTCGCATGCAAAGCAGCGCAAGCTACGACACGAATTAAAAACAAATTGAACGAATGAAACTCGAATATGAAATTTAATAATAAGCGCACAACGAGCGAAAGTGCTGGTAATTTACAAACGGAAATCAAAACAAATTTTAACGAAAACATGTTTAGCTTATTCCTTCATACCAATGCAAATATTTTATGATGTAATCTTAACATTTGTATTTGATTACCGAATTGTAATTTGCGTCACGAGTTAATTGGTAACGTATGCATTAGTAAAATCAGTAAATTAGAAAATCAATAGGGATTTCGAATAGTTTTGGGTTACTTACTAGATATATAATTAAGGCATTCAACAGGGAATTTAATAATATCCAAATTTGTGTCCTTTTACACTCGTGCGCGTATGTAAATCGATTGTTTTATTGAAATCACTGAAACCGCTGTTAACAACACTGATAACACTCGCCTTCTCGAAAACTACTTAAAATCGGGCGAAACTACCGAGACGAAATCTCGCCCACATATATCAAAAAATGATATCCAAATATTCGGGAACAATAATAGCGCGTCGCGAGATTTGTTGTTTAGAGGTCAATAATATAGCGGTCGCGCGTGAAAAACACAACACTAGGGCACTACCGTGCACTGCACACAGCACGCGACGACGCTTCGCTGCTCCGTACGATCACGGATTGTGATTACAGCACGCCGTTCACGACGACGAATGCGGAATGGCACCAGCAGCAACCGCAAGCGGAACGCGGCCCCACACAACTAACACGACTACCAGACTCATTGTCCTGACTGACTGGCACGACGGCACGAGCGCGCCAACCAGGCCGACCAGCTGAACGCACACCGACCTGCCAGCGGACCTGCTTGCCGCTTCGGTGCAGCGCGCAAATATGGCGGCAACAAACAGCTGCTTCGGATTATACATCAATTTCATGCATACAGCGACATCTATTGACAATCTAAGCCACTGCTTTTTTTGTATGTGTTGATATTCTTGAACGCTGCGCATGTGTAAGATGACTAGATAAGTTTGAAGGATTGTTTTTGTTGTTTTGATTTGTACACATCACGTGTTCTATGTGTTTGATATTACATTTATTATATTCTACATTAATAAATAGATAATGTCATACAAAATAAATATTTTACATTAATAAAATAATATCTTTAGAATAAATAAAAGATTTAAAACATTTATTTTAACTCACTCTCTGAATTAATGTCTTGGGGTAAAAATTGCCTGAAAATTAAGACTTTCCTTATAAATAAAGAAACTCATACAATCAATAATACACTCACTGAAGTCGCTTCGTTAAATTTTCGTTTTCCAACGATTTGGAATGTAGTTTATCTTGTAATGCATCAATTATCTGATCCTTCTCCTTAAGTTGCTGTTTTAATTGGTAAATGGTATCTTCTAATGCCTCAAACATTGCCTATAATTGAGAATTAATTTATAATTTAATATTTTTATTGTGTATTAATAATTTACTCTAGATTCTTCATTAGATTCTGAATAAACAGGAGGCTCATTCAAACAGAAAAAGTCCTGAATTATCGGTGATAAAACCAATGTTGATTCGTTAAGTATTGCATTAACGAAAACTTGTAATCCGTTTACTCGTTGGTCTAGAAACAGCGGATCGAAGTTATTCCTTAGCCATCTTTTTCGTGGTAAATACTGAGAAATTTGTGGGTAGGTACGTTTAAGACGATTACACAATCTCACAAAATCTGTGTATCGCCTGAAGACGTACCAACAATCACCGGACGCTTTGTTTTCTACTCGTAACTTATATACCTAGAAAATCACAATTTATGGTTGAAATAAATTAAATTATTTATAAATGTATGCAAGAACTCACTGTAAATCTGGCCCTTTCTTCCATAACTTCATATCCCACAATTGGTATCTGGATATGTGCAGGATTAAAATCAGCATTTCCATTTTGATCAGTTGGTGATGTTATGGGTGTTAATGTTGAAGTAGACAATTGACTAGAAGTAGAACTCAACAAACTGGAATTGTACCTAAGAATGTCAAAGTTACAGTTGAGAATTATTTAAACTGCCAATAATATTTGAATTACCCCATTGGTTCTGATAAATATTCCTCTGAATCAGTGCTGGTTGCCACATCACACTCCCCAGAACTTTTTGTTTCAAAATCTGGATCTAAATTTAATTGAGAATCTAATTTTGCACTTAACTGGCTCACGTTTTCCTTGGACATTTTCAATTAACTAAATATATGCTAAAATAATCCAAATCATGCATAAGTCAACAAGTTTTAGAACAACATTTGGGTCAGAAAATATTTTAAAGTAATCTAACCTCTAGCACCATAAAATAAGAGCATTGGTTGTACACAACTTCGCTAGAATCTACACATTATTTACTATATTTTATATTTAGCACATTGCAAAACATGTGGTAAACTGTTGATTTGTGTCTAGCACCATTTAGCACTTTCAGCAATCGTTTGTAGATTGTCACTCGCGCACAACAGAAACGTACTTAGCATAAATGAGTAAGTAGCGCAGGCGCGCTGGGCAGTGATGTTTTTGTGCGTTGGTTTGAAAGTTAAAACTTCCTCAAATAGCCTCAACGTATACGTCCTTTCCCTAGTCACTAGCGAATAGATTACAATACAATCATTTGCAAAACACTAACTTCTAATACAACGGAACAAAGTGAACTAATGAATTGTTGGTAAAATGAATGAATGAGTGTTTTACCTTTAGCGTTGTTTAGCATGCTAAAGTTATCCAAATGAATACTAATAGTTATTAGTGGATTTTCTATGCAGAAAGACGATGTAACTTGAAGCGCGTATTCGAAACGATAAGTAAGTGCATTATGGTAGCCGAACACAATCGGTTGCACGTTATAACATGCACATTTTTATTGTTTCCCGTTTGTTTGCGTTTGAACGGGTGCACCCAGCGCAGTCTTCACCGTCATGCCTAATTTAATTACGAAACTGGAACGGAAAGGTATTAATGCGAAACATATAAACGGCAAAATAATAATAATAATTTTAAATTAATCATAGTAAAACAAATGTGTAATATAAACTTGTTTCAGAATTTTACTTGATAAGTGCATATTCATTCACGGTAACAAAAATACTCCATAATCAAACATAGTCAATCACTGTTTAAAAAGTCACATTCCTTATTACGAAATTTTCACTAGTTGCTGCTCTCGGTTTGCAATTCGTCTTTTGTGTGTTGCGCCAAATTGGGTTGATTTTGTCTGAACTGCTTTTCCACTACTCGTTCCAATTCGGCGATAGTTCCGTCTTTTATTGCGTTTCTTATCTTTTCGAAATATTTCATAAAGTGATGGTTGTTGTGTCTAGAAACAAACAGGTATTATTTATCAGTACCAGATAAAAAGAGTAAACACAACTGAATTAAAATGTAAGAATGGTATATGCAGCGCCATCTAACTGCAGAAATTTGAACTCATAATTTTTTCTGACCTGATTGTTTTTAAAATCGGTTGTGAAATGATTTTTGAAGTCACAAACATTATAATCAATTGAATTATTTACTTACATAGTTAGTAGTAATGGACCTAACAATTCCTGAACAGTCACCAAATGATAGATATAAGCTTTAGTGTGTTTTTGACACGCTAAACACTCGCAACCTTCTATAATTGGCTTGAAGTCATCAACATATCTGCAAAAATACAAAATTATAACAATAGGAGCATTATATTCATAGAGAAACGTACTGTCTCTGACGGAGATTAATTTCATAAGGATGATTATCGTCACAATGCAAATCAGTCGAAAATACAAGAGCGGACGAACGTTCAGTCACTAAATTACAATATGACGTATCAAATACATCCACACCAAGTTGAACTAACTTTATAATAACCAATGGATTCCAACAGCCTTGCACAACACGCAGTTTGTCCGCTGGCAAATTGTCCTAAAAAGAATACACAGAATAAACTAATCAATCTATAAACCAGTACAATAAATGTACAATAACATATTCAACAATAGTTTTGGGCTCATCAAATGGAATAAACTCCACTTCTGGACCATTATTATGTAACCCATCAATGAGAAATCCCTTTAGGATTTCATTGTTTGCCATCAATTCAATGCATTCTTTCCTTGCATCCTTGCTATAACCTCCTGCAATTGCACCCATTGGAAATGAATTTACCAATGTGGTAGACCTTTTATGGCGTTCTAAGCACTGCTTAAAGAAATCTTTGGTATTTTCCACAGACTTTGCTATTCTTTTATTAGCACTCTTTGCATTTGTGTCGCCATCAGATAAGAAGTAGTACATATCTGGTTTAAAGGATTCAACAATATTCATGTATTGTTGAGCACTTAATAGTACTTTGCCTTGGCGAGTCCATAAGGGTATCATTTCCCTCTGGTGATGTCCAGAATGAGTTAAATCTCCTGGATCTTGAACTGTTACACATGTCAAGCAATCTTTAAGTCCTAAATTAAAAATTATTCATGAATTAAATTGGTTAATGTCTTACTAGATTGTTTGTTATAAACATACCAACAAACTCTGCAATACTTCCATGAAACTCTTCCATTACTTCTTGATATTGATAGGTGCTAACAAGGGGCACCTGAATAATCTGTGGACCTTTGCATATAATCTTAAACACTTCATGTGTTATGTGAGGCAGTCCACCACCCTAATATAATTTAATAGTTGTAATTAGACTTGTACTTTTGTTATTTTAATAACATTACCCTTGTATACAGCATTGGCAATGGTGTTTCAAGTACATAGTTGGGATAATTTCTGATTTCTTGTAGTGCGCCCACTCGGGGTGCGCATTTAGTTAAATTTTCAACGACAAATTTCATACTTCAAATTCGTATTTAATGTTCTATTATGCAGTTTCGTAAAATGTTAAATTAATGAAAGAAGAAGACGAAAATGAAAATCCGAATTTGACAAAGTTCGAACGGATTGATTTTCAAAACCTACTGAAATGTTGGGTTATGTTGTACCGAAAACGTGAGCGGCACGAACGCACTCGAATCACAACTTCGGAATTTTTAAATTTAAATTTTATAGGAAAAGAACATGGCGTAGTAAAATTGTATTCAGGAAGAACCTAAATTTATTCATAGTAAAACAATTTAACTGTGTACACTTCCAAAAAAATTCAAGGCGTTCCGGGCACATTAAATAGATTCATTCTGTTGCGACAAACAACACCTGCCTCACATCCCCAATCAGTCACCGCCCAATTGCAAACCAATCCTGAACATCTTCAAATAATTCTTGTTCTGCCTCTTTAAATTAGTCATTTTATAAAAATTTATATGACGCACAGAGCATCCCAACAAGCCAATTTTAGTTTTCTTTTTGTACAAAATTAAACTTGAAACCCAAATAATTTAAAAATGCTTATTCACACAAGAAAAAGTTCAATTACTATTCAGACGTACACAGTGTACTAGATTTACTTACTTTATATTTTGTTTCACTTTTCTTTTATATGTATTTGTTGATGTCAAGTACTTATATTTATTCAGGTATGTGGTATGTATATCAAAAGATAACTACTACTTTTGTTGCGGAATTCTCATAATCATTTTCTTTTCCGCGTCAGAGTCATTACACATATTGTGAGAAGGTGTTAAATAAGTAATTAAGTTTCACTTGTTCCAATTTTTAATCTGTAAGTACTTTCAATATCTTTCACACCACAAAAAATTATTATCGGTGAGAACAATGAAAGAACAAATTTTTTTAACGCGCGAATTTGCTTTAATCACTGTTTACTTTCTTACCGGGTTTTACAAACTACCAAAAAATGTGATAGTACTATGATAATAATAAATAGATTATTTTAAAAAGTAATAGAAGAAAGTTAATTCATTATTTAGATGATTAATTACACTCTACTTATCTCAGTGGTGAATAACTAAAGATATTTCTATCTTTAAATTTTATGTTTGTTTTTTTGATAAAACTAGCTACTTATTGTTTTAAATAGTCAATTTAGTGTTCCTAATCAAAACGTTGTATGTTAATGCCAGGATGATACCGTTACAGTTTTACAATTACAATTGTACTCGGCAGGTATTTGTATTTGTATTTGAAACTACAAAGCGGATCAAAAATGAGGTTAACGACGAACACCTCTCATGTTATGCGGACAAAAAGAAAGAACAAACCTTCAAAACCTACTCGCATTTAGACCAACTTTGATGGTGAATGTCACACAGCCTCCAGAGAGATTTGCGTTCATATACTGATATCATAATTATGACCATTCCAAACAGTGATTTAAGAAATAGCAAGAATACTTACATTCCATATAAAGAGACGAAACAAATTTAACATTGAATACGATTGGTCATGACATAGAGTCCTGGTTAATGGCGCCTGCAATGCGTAACGTGCATGACGCACCATCGAAGAAAGTGTTCCACATATTATTGTTGATTCAAGCGATGCAACCATTCAATATAATTTATCGCTGCACTTACGCACCATACCAATGCCATTAGTAGAAGAAATCTTCCTTTTCTATGCACATAATGGAGTAATGAATGATATTTGCATTATTTACACATTCACTAAACATCTGCTCGGTTGGTTAGCGTTCAACTTTTGTTGAATTGAATAAATGAAGGAGAAGAGTAAAGTGGCTGCACGATCGCTGCAAATGTGGAGCAATTGTGTGCGTTTCGTTTGTGGCATTGGTGCGAATTTGCATTTTACATTTACGTGCCACGACGAATGTAACCGCATTGTTGGAGAGCTATCCGGGTCGCTATGAAAGAAATTGCACGTTGTGGGAAGAGCACGCGATTAAAAAGGCATCAATTTTACAAATCTCAATTGAATCCACTGATAATAACTCAATTTTAAACAAAATATTAAATATTTATGTTTTATTCAAATTAAGTTGGTATTATAAATGGCTGTCGTTGTTTTAGGATAAAATTGAGCGAGTGAGTTGGCCACCGCGGGGCAAATCCGGTGCGCCTCTTCGCATACACATCAATTTCATATTCATACATTATCTCCGTGCACACGCATGCCGAATACCACGGCGCAACGTACAAAGGCGTCGCAAGGCGAACGAGAAGCAACTCAGGAGCAGTCGGCTCATAACTGTAACTCGAACCCACTGCATCAAAGTACCGTACACATACACACATTTCTGCAATAAAATATCATACGCCGGATTCGATTATTAGCTAATTTTCCCTGACTTAAAAATCAGCAAGGTAATACCAATATGGCATCAAAGTTGCCTAATTATATGAATATATGCAACTGTATAAACATCACAAAATAAAAAGACATTTTTGAGAAGTTTGGTTTAGAAATAACACTCAATGGCATCATTTTTATTAATTGCAGATGTGCACACTTACATTTTACTGCCTAGACTTTAAAATTTGACTTGTATACCGAGTTTTCTTAAGTTTTTAAATGTCAAGTTAGGTTATGTTAAATAGAATGTATTTTTTATTGCACAGAGAAAATATTAACATGTTACATATCATATTTAATGAAAACAATAAAAAAAAATTAATGATTCTCATGACTTATATCGTAGACAATACAATTATGAGATGTTTTTTCTAACAGTAAAGCCAAAAATATTTAATTCTAATGTTGTTAATATTTATCTAAAGAACAAATTTACATACATAGAGGTAAGGTCAATGTATTTTTTATACCTCATTGTTGAAACTTAATATTAATTAATCTTTGGTAAGTTTACGTCATTTATTTGTTCATTCTTGGCTTGATAGACGTGTATAAGAATGTCAATCATTTTGTTTTCGCCCAAGAAATTATTTTTGATTAAATTTATTTAATCTTTTTAATCAATAAAGTTATACAAGTTTCTGTACTTCTAAATGGTCTAGAATTCATTTTATATTATATTTTACACTAATAATTACCCAAATATACAATCTACCAAATCACATTGTTGTTGGTACGGTCGCTGGCAAGCTATAAGTAGAAGATGCGGAGAAAGACTTTCGTGGGATCAGTTGACCGCCGACTTTCGTCGTCTCTGCAACCATCACCCAGCTTACCAGCAAGAATCTCATCATTATCTCACCGCCAGGTTCAGAACATCCTCTCACCTCATGCGCGCAGCAAACAAGTGCAAAGTGTACGCCGACAATTGTTTAAAAGTTTGTGGACAAACATTCCTAACTTCTGCAGGCATTACGTCCCCAAACGCCGGAGCCGGAGTGCCGGCGAATATATTGGAACTTCTTATTCATTCGAACAACAAGCCGGCGATAGCCTATATTCCGATCGTTGATTAACGGACTGTTCAAAGAAATACCGTAACGGCGTAACCAAAACGACTTGTCGGCGCGGCGAGCCTTCGACTTGACTTTCAGTCCGCATGTTGCGCCGTGAAAACGTGTATGGTCGCACGAAGACTTCGACTTGAGCGCAAAACTTAAAAATATCATCAAAATATTTCAGTGCGTTTGCAAAAAATCATTGTGTTATTGCGTGAAGATGGGTTTCGAGGAAACGGAGCCTAGCGTTTAAACTCTGTGACAAAAAGTGTCTTTTATTTTGTGAACATTAAAAAAATAAATTGACAGATTATTAATTTTTTAATAAAAAGTTTTGTGAACGTTGTTATCGGACAAATCACAAATTCAAGGTGAGAAAAATTAATTTCTTAAAAATATTTCCATTGAAACTATTTAACAATACATAATAAATAAATTAATAACAAGAAATACGTTGTATATAATTATAATAATATTATTATTAATTAATTCCTCACTTGCTTACTTTCTATCAGAATACAAGTAATAGGTATGCACTGTTTGATACCAGTTGTTCTTGATTTTACTGTTTTATGCACAGTATGTTTTGTGTGCCATTGTGGGCATTAATTAATTTAATAGTACTTCTCACCAGACAGTGCACTAAACTGTAAGAACTTTGCGCTTGCTTAACTTGCATTTAAAGCATTACCATTCAGTTCCATTGATATTTCTTCCGCCTAAGAACAAAAACAATCATTGAATGGAAACGCGCAGGCAAATTGCCTTCAATTATTACAGTACCAACGTAATTAGACAATAATTGTCCGCAATTACAAGTTAATTCGCTCACTGCGTTGAGAATTAATCCAGAGCACTGATTGCAGTTAATTCAAAGATTATCAATGTGATTGAAGTTTATAGATTATAAAATTGCTTCACCGTTAATAATAATCATTTCATATCACATAATCCGCGCCCAATTTGTATCCAAAGTCGTAAATTATTTAGATTTCTGCGTGTTCAAGTGACACCTATAACAGTGACCTATATTCAGCGTGTAAATTGCTGAGCGCGTTCGTTTGCTTAGCATTCACATTCACGCGTGCGTGATTCACTCACATGGCTAGGGCACAATTAGCATGAAAGCAGTAAACTTTAACAGCCAAAGTTACCTCTGCGACACTTACGTCCACCGATTAAAGTAACGCTGCAAGTTATTAAGACACATGTATGCCAGAGATGATTGAATGTTGAAAAACTGGCTCAGCTATGTATTTCTGCGCCCGGCGACATGCCAAACCATTCGGCCAGGATGATACCGTTAGTGAGACGCCCAGTGTGCTCCATGTACACATTATTTGCCCATGAATCAATGAACTAATGAGCCACACCAGCACAGGTTGAATATACCGTATAATTATTACTTAAGCTTAGCTTTCATGGATGATATCGTAATCTAAATATGTTAAATAATAAAATCTATTCAATTTAATTTCAAAAGAAAGTTAATTGCAATTATAACATTTATTTCCGGATATTCTTCAGATATTCACAGCCTGAGGATATTTGTTTGTTATGAATGTATTTATTATGAAACCATCATGACGTGTTCGCTCTTTCTCCGATGCGATACTTTGAATAATTATTTAGGTCAGTAGAAGCATGTTGAACCGTGAGTCGAGGCGAGTCAAGGTTCTTCAATTACCTTGACCGAGGCCAAGACAACCACGACAACACGATGTGACTTAACTCAAAGTTATGAGGAAGCAGACCATCCGAAAAAGCCTGCGACGTATTTTTCTAGCAGGTGCTATGACCGAATAGCTGGTCAAAGTATATATTAAATGTGCGCGCCACGAATGTAAACTGCCGATGGAAGGCAGCAGGTTTTGGTGCTTTGGGTTTGGTTTTACCGTTACGTGTGGGTGCCGATTACCTTTTGAAGCGCGTGAATAATTAAAAACCACTTATCAGATGATGTAAAGTGGTACATTAAACTAATCGATTTCGAAATTAATTTAGTTTATTTTATTGGTTTGCAGGAATTTGTCAACATGGAGCTGCAGTATATTGTTTTGACAATCATCAAAATCCTCATCTCGGTGCCAACGTTAGTGGTAGTCATTCAAATACAAGAAATTAACGGTGCTGCCTTGATCGGTGGACACGTGAACAATGTGAATGTAGCGCCCAAATCGAATATCACAGAGTTTAAAATTGATCTCAGCGAGGATAACGTTCAGGAAGAACCGAATGCTGCTGTTATTACAGTTGATAAGACTGTCAATAATACTGAAGCAGTTCCTGATCCGGAACCCTTGATTGTACCAGGATATAATCTACCTGAAAACATTTTCAATAAAGGAAAACCGTTTTATTTGGAGAAGGATCCATTGACTGGTAATATTGACTTCAATACCAGAACTAAACTCTACGAGGAATATGATTATGATGACGTAGAATATGATAAATCTTCAATTGATCGTAAAGATGGTCCATCAACAGGCAGTCATAAGCCGAGTGACATTAATCAACTCACACCTAATTTCCATGATTTCCTTAACTTACCAGTGAAATATAATCCAGATAAATATGTCTATCCGTTAATCTCTTCTTCATACGCTAATACGAAAGTTCAAGGCAACGTTAATAAACATCAGAATCATAAGAATTACGTGGTGACAACTTATAAACCAACACTGAGTCCGACCTACTTTACAACAAAGTACTACACTCAAGATAAAGTTATCAAGTTTACAACACCAAAGAAAACCTATGAAGACTTACAATTTACCACCGCTAGCCCAGTTAAGGTGCAGACAACTAGAAAGATTGAAAATTTAATGAATAGTCCGATGAATCACCCAAGTTACAATAAAGAATATTATAAGAAACCAGCAACGTTATCTTATACAACTAAGTTGTCAACAACAACAACGTCGACTAGTACCACTCCAGCTTCGACGAAGAGACCAATGAGTTTGTTTGAACAATTATTTGGTTCGGATTATGAAGATAATGATACGACTGATGCGATTGTAACCACAACGACACAGGTTTCTAATACAGAGATTCCTGTAAAAAGCACTAAACCTTATTCGGTTACACCAAGTGGACAACACATTAAACTGTTTCATAATTTACCGAAGAAAGCAACAACGCCTGGGTACCAATCGACGCATTATAATGTATTAACAGGCTCGCATATGTCTGATATGAATATTAACTATGATTATGAAGAAGAGAAGCCAGCGCAGGTTGCTGAAGTGTCTAAAAAACCTGCGCAAGTTATTAACATCACACCGGAACCACTTGATGTTAATAATTCACAAATGTCTGAAGATTACGACTATGATTATTTAGACAAAACAACAACAACTTCTACTACTGTAAAACCAACTTCATCTGTTGTTGTAGAACAGGCGTCTTCTAGTTATGAATCATCTTCTGAAGATTCATCTGTTGATGAAGCTGTAATCACCACAACCACAGAAGGTACTAAAATGACTTCACTTCCGCTGGGTGAAAATCATATTCATCATGTTCATACTCCAAACAGACCGATTATTGTTACCAGTCAAAATCTACGCGAGCAATTAAATGGGGAGAAAGTTGGTTATGTTCATCCTCAAGCGCCATCTACTAGTTCTATTCATATAGCACCTGATCAGGACACTGTCAGTTTTGTAATGGGTAATCATCAAAATGTGGAAGGTGGTGCCAATGGTGGTAACCCAGGAGGATATGTCGGTACTTCTTTGAAGGAAAGTCCGTATGAATCTAATCCCTTCCGGCCTGTGTATGACCAACAACCTGAAGAGTTGCAGGTTAAGAATGACTATAATAAGCCCTATTTAAACAATTTAAATAACCAGCAACAAACTGTTGGTAGTTCCGTGACTATTCAACCTATCAAAAACAGTGAAGCTTCTTTGTCAATTGGTAGTCAGATTGTATTGAAACCAGGTCATGTTATGGATGAAAAGATTGAGGATATTGAGTATACACATGGTGCGAAGATTGTTTTCCCTGATTCGGATAAATCTACTACTTTAACACCAGATTTAAGTCCGCCTCCACCTCCAAAAGTATCCTATGCTAGTCCTCCATTTAATGTTCACTTGGTTCAGCATACAACTAGTGGATTACCACCAACTGGATCACATAAAGAAGTTTTGAAACTGAACTCTAAACCAATGTTCCATCAACTACCCTCTGAGTTAACCCCGCCTGAATCTGTTGTTAAGTTACCACCACGTGTACGACCACCATGGGATCCTCGACCGGGACATTTCCATGCGGGTAGACCGGAATATGCACGACCACCACGACCACAAGAAGTTTACAAACGTGTAGATTCTTTGCCCAATATTCTTCCTCAGTTTAGGCCAAATATGCCTAACAAGCCAATGCATCATCATCCGTATCTACCACATGGACAACATCCACATTTTGATAGGACTCAACATCAACATCACCAACAACAATCAGTTAATCAACAGCATAAGCATGTTCAACAGCAACAACATCATGGACCACCACATGGTACCCAAAATTACGCAAGACAACCATTACTCGAACGACCTTCAAATAATAGACCAATTGGTTTCTTTGAAAAACTTCACCCACCACCAATTCCTGGTAACTCTCAAAGCAAAATTCCTTCAAAAGTAGCAGAAGATAGAATTGGACCTAAACCAGGTCATGGTCACCAACAAACATCACCACACCAACAACAGCAACAACAACAACAACAACAAGGACCTCAAGGATTACCACCAATGCAAGAACACTTTGCGTATTTACAAGCACCACCAAAAATTGTTGTGCCCAATAGACGCAATGGTGAAGATCCAGAAACACTGCAAATGCTTCAAGCTAAACAAGAAAAGAAATCGGATAAACCCATTTTTAAACAAAAAATTGACATTAAAGAAAATGTCATTAAGGATAGCACAAACAAAGATATCACAGCCCTTAAAACCCAGGGTAGTACAGATAAACCATTATACGTAGTGTATCCAGTAAATTCAGCACCTATCAAACTAGATGCCATTGATAACAATAAAAAAGAAACAGTGGTGATTGGTACGCGTGCAGAGCTTCCATTACCACCATCAAAAATTAAACCAAACGTCCAACCATCTTCAATAGCCACTGAAGTAGATTTTAACTACGAAGTAAAGGACAGACATGATTCACCTATACTCAAACCACGTCCTGCAACATTCCCATTCAAATCTGATTTCCCATATCCACTTGAACGACCTGATCCTTCCATTCTCCCCAGTGATATGGAAAACAAGCTTCCTGATGAACCCACCCTAATATCTTCCAATCAATGGAACACGATTGAAGATACTGAACCAAGGATAGTTAACCATAACACGCCGCAAGCTAACAACAATCAAATTTCGGTAACTCTTAAGACCTATACGGAGAAGCCAATTGCTGTTGCCTATACACCAACAGAAAGCAACAAATTCTCAATGCCAAACTACGCCAGTTTGGTGATACCTGAAATTCGAGATTCGGAGATCACCGTCAGTGCTGTAATGCACCACGGTCAACCATCGCCACCGGTTGTCCATCATCGACCAATCGTTAAGCCACAAGCTCACAATGAGGAAGTGAACCAGGCGAACGCACCGCGGCCACAGGCGGAATTCCAAGCGCCGTTCCAGGCCAGCGCACATGTCGACCATTCGCTGTCCCAAGGATGGGCAGTCGTGCGCGAAAAAGACGAACGCAAAGACGAAATCACCACGCTACCGGTTCAAACAACGAGCGAGTTTGACATAGAAAACTTCAAGCCTCAACTTGAAGGTGGCTTCAAGCCCATTTACTCCTACTCGGAGGATAGTAAAGAGGCGAAGGATAGTGAAAAAGACGTTGTTATTAATGAAAGGCAAGAATAACCTAATTGAACAAAAAAAGACTAATATATAATTAATTTACGCAAAGAACGAAAACTATTTCACTGAGTTTATGATTCTTTGATATTCTAGCGAAACTATTACACGAATGAGCAGATGAAGATTGAGGTGTTGGTAATATTGGGAATCTAAGTTCGAAGAATTGATCAAATCTTGAACTTGAACTACCAGTTTATTTATTCATTTTTTCGGACTTACTATATTTATTTATTTATTTGTTTTTAATGTGTCTTTTCTGTACTTTCGTACTTTTAAATTGGTATTATAATTGTAACTTATTTGTTATTTTTATCGACTGTATAAATGCATACTTCTCAATGTATTATTTTTAATTTTAATCATATGTACGAGAAGTACATGGTAGGATACAAAGTGGTACATATAATTGAGCATGTAAAGTGTACTAAACTGCTGAAATTGATAAGTTTATATGCGACACGTTAAAGTAATTAGATTAATAATTAATGTAAAAATGTTAAAAGCCGTGTTTTATATTTTAAATATTAATATTAAATATACAAACCACTAAATCTGTGGTTTTTAGCTTTTTCAATACTGTTATCCCTGGAATCTTTAAAAAAGCTCAAGTGCTTTAAAATTCACACTAAAAAGAATCTGAAAACCAATTTTGGCGGTCCCAATACGTTAATATTTCCTAAATTTGAAAAGGCAACTTGTCTTGCATCAGTACTTAAAAATTCCTTAATTTTCTGAGAAACCCCGCGTGGGAAATCGCGGTCCGGTCTCTCGAAGAAAACTTAAATTCAAAACAAAACCAGAATCCGATCTTTCGAATAAGTAATGTAAAAAGTTCAGTTTTAATGAATACTTCAGAGCACTTCCAAAGAATTTGAGTAGCTTACTTACACTTAGATTATCACAAGGTAAGAAGAATGAATATCTCTATTTTTCTAGTAAACATGAGCATATATGCATAGTATATTATAATTTTAATAGCCGCTACATTTTAAACTGTAAAGTGTTATTGTTATATTATTTGCACTCTCGATTATTTGATTATAATAATGATGTATGTAGAATGGCACATGTATACATTCTGGCAAACAATGCAAATATCCAAATCTTATCTCGCACATGAGACACTAAAGAATCAATTTTTACTTTTAACAAATATTTATACATCTTTTTAAAACTTAATCATTTCTATATACTTCTAATTATCACTGATGATCAGTATATTTATATATTGGACAGATTAACGTCTGAGCATTGTGCACCAAGCTAATATTGTTCAAATACATCCAATATATCATACACATTAAAATTGTACTAATTAGGAACGTGTTTGAGTTTAGCAATGACATTTACATGCCCTCAAAATAAATAAATAATATTACTAATTACAACAAACAGTTTTAAATTGTAAACATAATAAAGGTACTATTTGCAATCTATAGTTGTATAGTTGTACTTATATAGCTACCTATATAGCTACACCAATATTATTGCTCAATGAGCATATTATAAAATTGAAATGGACGTAATTGTCATCAAAATTCGTGTCACATTCATTACAAGAGTGTAAATATAAATACTCACTTGAAAAACATTAATGCGTGTATAATTTGTATAGTGCTCGTGTATACTGTATAGCAACTTGAATATAGTTGGAGTAAAATTGATAATAGAAACTTTCAATAACGTTAGAGTAAATATTGTCGTGTTTTCTGGCAGTTATAATAATTCCCATCGCATGCATCCATAATGGTCGACATTTCAAAACGCGTCAAACAATTGCAAGTCATATTTGATTACTACCTCACCGGACTCCACCTGATGCAGAATTAATTTCTTGGTGATTGGTTCCTTTAACCTTCTTACCAACCACTCTTGATATAAGTCCATTACTTTCATCTCGGCACGACCCAAAAATTCTATGTAAAAAGGCAATAATAAATATAGTGTGGACAGAATTGTGCTAAACAAACCATCTGGACTAAACGGACACATTTCAAACACGGTCAACGTGACGACATCCTGAGCAATTTCATGAATCGGGAACTGCATGTAGTCATTCCAAACCAAGGCCGGCGGTTGTGGAATTCCGTTTAAAATGTTCCCGTTTCGCTCGTCCATCGCAACATTTGTATTCTGGACGCATTCGCCCAATGCCACCTTGCAGTAGACATTTTGTACAAAGGATCGTCCTATTTGATAAGAGTACAGCGAATAAATACATGAATACTAAGAAATGTTAAGATGGTTAATAGCATTGCTACCTGGCTTAAGGGTTTTGCGTTTGGCATGGTTAGTACAATTTGATTTAGGGAAAATTTCGTGCCCGCTAGTTACATACACAGTCAACCAATTCGGCCAAGTGTTCGGGTTAACAGCTATAAAGTAAAGAGAGTGCAGGCAATTAGTTTGACGCGCTTACCAGTGATAATGAAGCGCGTCCCTTTGACGACTTGAACAATTAGACGTCCACGTTGCTGTAAACCACTGGCTTCTGCACAGACATGTAAGCACGGCGTACGAATTGAACATGAGACACATTCCAACAAATTCATTTACATTAACACAATTTCGTCACATTCACAAGTATTTCTGGCACGCAAACAATCAAAACAAAAAGAAAACATGTCGGCACTAAACAAAATTTATACTCACTTGAGCGCAATCTCGTACGGGTAAGCGAAATTGCCTTTTCGTGCATTTCTTGTGCGATTTCGATTCGCTTCACCCACAAATTGCATTCATTTGCTGAAGTAGTAAGAAGTGAAACAGGTTGTTTTCCGTCTTGCTGAATACTGATGATGCGATCGGCATTAGTAAGATTGTCGATCGCTTCGATTGGTGTTTTCGAAACTTGAATTTCGTGTATCAATAATGGCTGTTTATAGATCTTATACGTTACGTTGGTGTTGCGTTGAAAAGTAAATTGTGTAATCGATTTACTTGGTTGAACCAACAAAATAAAGTCACTCAACAAAAAACCAAGCAATTCTTTTCCACTTTTTACCTGAAAACATAGTTAATATAATCTATTATAACTTAAAAGCAATGAAAAACTTACTTTTGTTAAACATCCATAGTGTAACAGAGTACGAGGTCCAACTTTATTTGTATTCCCATTGAAGTTAATACTAAACTCATTCTGTGATATATGCTCCTGAAGCCACATCAATCGTTCATAGTCTTCCTTCTGTCGCATGTTTTCATTTATGCGCTTTAAAAACTTATCTGCCATTGAACGCGCCTCCAGTAAATCTTGATAATCAGGATGATTGTCAGGGGTATTTTCAATGATTTTCTCAATCAACAGCGGATATTTCGTAATACGTTGCATGGGCTTCAATAAAAACGAACTGAGCGGTAATCCTTTGAGCGCAGGATCTGCTTGACATTTACGCAATATATCGCGAAAAGGTGTCGAATCCTCGTACAGTTTCTGCAAGTATGAAGCGCTGTCTAATTGCTTTTTGCAAAAGTGTACGTACGGCACCATATTTGGTAACTGAAATACAATAAATTCTTAATATCATGCAAAAATGGTGTGAATTACACACGTTTTTGAGAATAACATCACCAATCATATCATCATCAAACTCGAGTTTTTCCAGAAGATCCTCCAGAAAGATCTGATTGCAGTGAAGAATATCGTCCAGGTTGACGAAAATATTCTCCAATTCTTTTTGATTAAGAATGCTACTAGTCTTCAATGGCATTTCAAAAACACGCTTAACCACGGACAAATCTTCAATGTACTGCATCTCGGTAGTGATCAACTCGTCGATGCCATCTTGCCGCTTCTTGTTGTAACCGTTTCGAACCGGCGTGTGGTTGTTCACCGGTTGGGTCAGATTGCGCGTCAACTCTTGGTGAATCTTATTAAACGCATTTCGCGGAGATTCAGCCGGTGACTGTTGCAGAAATTGGAATTGGTTCGGGTGGGCATGGTCTAAGGCCAACAACAAAAGCGAATTCAAACATTGTGATCAGATTTTTTTTACGTTTTCATTTTACTTGCTCGATTAATTCGATTCATATTTCACACTTCTTATATTGATATCATATGCTTGCATTTTTATGGTTACAATTTGTGATAGGGCTGATATTTTGGATAAGTATTTTACTCAACGCTTCGTACACTCGAGGAAAGTTACAATCGAGAGAAAGACAGAGAAATTTGAATGTAAAATAAATTACGTCTCCTGCTTCCTTATTCGCACGATTAATTTTGCATCTACATTTGTTCATTTCGCATTTCGTATGAGTAATTCCAAGTAATAATGCTTAACGATATTTAGGCTAATTTTTACTAAACGTAACGAACATCGCTCTTACATATGCAGTAGAATCGCGACAGCAAAAAATTTTGAGCAGAGCTCTAGCACGTTCCAGCACAGATCATGACTCGAAAATCAGTTAAACATGATGGCCAAGCGCATAAATAATACCATGGCGTATTCAACTGCTAGTTAGCATTGATTGGATTCTTGTATAACAATCAACAAATAACGTTATATAACATAATCGACCAAAACATATTTTGCATGATATAATTTCGAAAATAATACGCATCAGAGATTTTTTCTGAGATAAATAAATAATTCTTTGTAAATAAGCCGATTTCTCGGTAAGGTGGGCGGTATTGTTGTAAGCAACAAGTTATTCCCGGATTTTGTACCGATTTTCGCGTCTATTACAAACCGACAGCAATGTATGATACAAAAAAACGCACCCACCCTACCGTTACATAAAATCGTACAAAAGAACACATATGTACTAATAAAAAACAAAGCGTTTTTAAATATTTTTCTACCTAATAATGAGTGACTAATTTATCAAATAATGAGTAATATTTCAAATACATGTTTCGCTAAAAACAATAAATTGCGTATAGGCATACAATTAATTAAACAAAATGAGCAAAAATACAACGTAAGATCACAATTTTCACTAATTAAATTCATGGTTATGCATTTGTCTAATTATTTCGCCTAATAATAAAACAGCATCTTTGAAATTGATATTCCGCTTGTCAGCATAATCTCGCCTGAAAGGTGGACTAGCACCAGGAGGCTTTTAATATCATCATAAGACATTGATAGTAATAAATGCTTCTTACAATAATCAGATATAAAGACACGTCGTTTATCGTTTAAGTTCTAATTATTCAATTAGAGTGTTAGATATTAGTAGCCACTGTTGCCTTTTGTCTTTAAGCTTTCCTTTTCTGAAGTTCCAAAGCTGACTTATCATATCAAGTATTAACGATTTCCATTTGTAACAACTTTTACATAATTTAAACATACAGTACATACACAATGTTCAGCTAGATTTCATTTCTAAACTTCTTCGCTAAAACTTATAGATAGTATTATTATCATATTTATATGTTGCAATGCTTGCGCCATTTTCATTCAGTGACGAAATTTGGAATATTTTTTGTATTGTTCTATTGCAGTTTTTATTATATTTATATGGTAGGATGGGTGCGCTCAATCATTATTAATGCGGTGTGTATAGCGTTCCTATAAAAACGAAAAGATTTTTAGAATCATAAAGAGCTCAATTTTTGAGATATGAAATTAAATCAAATCTGAATCCATATCGTGGGGTCGGATAATTAAATCATAAGTGAAGATGATGTTTGTGCGGCTTAATATTAGAGTAAATGCAAACTAAGAAAACTTACATTGCTGGAGTGGTTGGACGTAATTACTCGGGAACAATCCAGATACGCCGTTCAGCTCACCTCGCCACCATGCCGCTTCCTCCCTTGCTGTCACGCTGATAATGTCATCTTTGAGAAAACTTAGCTCGTCGGGATTGCCGGCAGTATACGCATACAGTGCAATAACTTTGTCTGTAAGAATACATCAATTGTGAATCAGTTACAATGATTATTGTTCCAGAAATAATTCGGCGCATACCAATAATAACTTCTTGTTGCATTCTAGTGGTAGAGACAGGTGTTGTACGACCACTGGCACGTCCACTGCTGTTCAAAACTTTTACATAGGTTGCAGGGAACCAACCTACTTGACGTTTACGTCCCTTTGCCTGTAATTCACCCTCCCACCAACCGGAATCCGTCTTCTTTCTAATCATGATCAACTGGCCGCGTTCCAGTGACAATTGCTCGTTGCTTGAAGCCTGGTACGGAGCAATCACCGACGCAATCTCCGGTTTTTTACCAGCTTTAATAGTCTTAAAACAGATCAGATATATAATAATTGCATTCTTGGGACCAGATTAGATTAAATAGATTGTATGAATTAGTTTGCATCAACAACAAACATAAGCAAAACTAAACAAAACACAACAACAACTTAGTAGCAAGAATCATAATCAAGGGAAGAATGTATTAATAGACGAATCGTATCAAACCTGTGCTTGTTGGGACAAGGCGGAAAAGTCGGTTTTCTCAGGTAGGTTACATTCGTTGATTTGCGACACTTCATTATCCTCATCCTGTTGCTGCTGTTGCGCAACTGGTTGTGGCGCTTCCTGAACTTTAACCGCCTCAACATCAGGTGCACTGGTTACGTTAGTCGCAGCGCTAGGAGCATTCTAACAGCAAAATACACAGAACACACAACATGTATGCATGACACACGCAGGTTACCATCAAGCACTTGCAATACTTACATCTGCCTTCTGTACGTAATTGCTTGGGAATATACCGACACGATCATCAATCTTTCCAGTCCACCAGTCGCCATCTTTCTTAATAACAAGTACGTACTCGCCGCCACTAAAGGTAAGGTCGCCGGCTTCCGCTGACTGATACGGATACGAAGCGACGTAATACTCGCCTTCTTCAGTCGCTTCCAAAGCAGGTGCAGCTTCTGGTTCCTGGGAAATCTCCGGTACTTCTGCCACAACCCTAAATAAAGAAAAATCATCATATTAAACATTAAACTGTTGATATTTAATTGTACATACTCTAAAGGTTTTGATTCTTCAATCGGGAATGCACTAGTAGTTGTAGAATCAACAGCACTATCAGCGAGCTCAACGTACGACTCCGGAAACCAGCCGGTGTGTCCACGAATCTCCCCGGCTAACCATCCAGGTTCTCCGGTTTGTTCCAAGGGCACGTTGATAATATCACCCGGTTGGAATGATATTTCGTCGTTATTTCGGGCAGAAAACTCGTAAAGTGCTCGATATCTAACAGATCCAGCTGGTGCTTCAGTAGCAACTGCGGTTGCAACTGGAGTGGCAGTTGTAGCCCAACTATCCTGCGCGGGCCATTCATTCGCAGCTGATGGTGCTGTAGTTGTTGATCCCCAACTAGTGTCATTACCCCAAGCCGACGAATAATCATTTGCTTTCGTAGATCCTTTCATACCGAGAACTGTGGTTTTCTTCTGTTCGTAAACAGAATATAAATCCTCACATTCCGACACTAGTTTGGTTAATTCTCCTTTGAGCTCTGTTAGTTGGGAATTATTGTTTTCAATATCCGACATTTTTGTATCAATCTCTCCTTGCATATCTTCAATCTTTTCCTTTAGATTCTTAATCGTGATTTCCTTATTCTCAAACGCAAGTTTAGTCTGTTCAGCCTGTTTATCGTTCATTGCTGTGTTCATCTTGTTCTTTGCTTCCATTCGAATCTTTTCTTGCGAAAGCTGCAGAAGCTTAGCGTTTTGTTCTTTGAGTTTGCTCTTTAGCTGAGACATTTCCTGCATTGAAGTATCCCTGGTCGATCGCATTCCATCGATCGTAGACTTTACATTTGAAACACCAACACGTGTGTCGCATATTTTCTGCGACAATTCTTTAACGTTATCATTCAGCGTGCTTAGTTCAATCGTTAAACTTTGATTCTTTGCTTTCAGTTTCAGAACGTTCTCCTGTTCGCGTTGACGCTGCTGCTGTAATTCTTGCAATCGCTGCTTCTCCCATTCGAGTTGTCTCTGTCGTTCCATTTCTTTACGCGCAGACTCCCGTTGATCCGCCTGCCTCTTGCGCTCTTCTTCCTGCATGCGTTCGCGCTCCTGTTGATCGCGCATTTGCTTTTCTAATTCCTCGGCGCGTTTACGTTCAGCCTCAAGGCGAGCCTTTTCGCGCTTCTCCGCTTCTTCTCGTTCTTTACGGTCTCGTTCCTCGGCCTCCTTACGTTGTTGATCAAACAGTGTTTTACGCCGCCTTTCCAGTTCCGCTTGTCCTTTCTCAAAGTTTTCCTTACGCTTGTCTTCGAACGAATCTAGCAACAAAACCGAAGTTTAAATATAAATCCAATAATTGCATTTTGCATAGACTCAGCTTACTTTGTGATATAAGAGTAAGATCAACGTCTGGTTGACCACTGCCCTGACTTGATATAGACGCAGTTCGAGACGCAGTGCGCGCTGGTCGTTTAAATGTTGGTGGAATTAATTCAGGAGGAAGAGTTGTGGGAATTGGATGTCCTAATGCGGCCTGTTCGCATAAATGCATCGCTAAAACAAACTCTTCGCATCCCAACCGACCATCCGAGTCCATGTCAGAAAGAGCCCTAATTGAAGCAATAAGCATTTTAATAAATTTACCGCGTTATGCCAATTCTAATATGAAAACATGTGCTTTACATGATATTGTTTTATTAGCACACACTTGAACTTATAATAAATATTCTCTCGGTTTTCATAAAAAACGTTATCAATATAAAAGATAAAATTCCACTTACCAAATTATCGCCAAAGTATTTTGGGGTAACTTTGTCTGCATCATGACGTTTCTAGCCTGAGCGCCTGTCAAGAATCCGCTCCTCGTCCGATCTGTAGTATTAAATATTTGAGTATATTTCAATTTTGTTGGATGTGGCACGGCCCACTCTTGTAAACTCTCCATCATTGTTTTATCCAAACTGCTAACGCTAGTTCTCGGCGTGCTGCTCACACCCGGCACGGCAGCAACTGGTGGCACCGCCGCCGGAATTACTGATGCGGGCGGCGCCAAGGGTGGAATGGCACTGACTGGCGGTACCGCACTCATAGGTGCACTCATAGGTGGTACGGCGCTCACCGGGGGAACGGTGTTCATAGGAGGCACAGCACCCATTGGTGGTACAGTTGTCATGGGAACGGCAGAGGGCATAGGTTGCATGCCCATCGGCGGCATTACAGGTTGTTGCATGGGAGGAATATATCCAATTGGTGCCGCCCCCAATGGTGACATTCCAGCAGAAACAGGCGCCAGTGGCTGCACAGGTGCCACTGGTTGCATTCCCATCATACTGCTCTGCATTGGAGGCACTATACCAGTTGGTATGAAATTATTAGCAACAGGTTGAGTCATGATTGGAGCACCAGGCATTTGAGGCATTGGGGCAACTGCTGGTTTAGGTGGTTCAGGCCTTGGGGGAGCAGGTGCACCAACAAGTGTTGGGTTTGGAAGGGGTGGGATTGATGGTGGTGTTTGTGCCTGCTGCTTTACTGATGCCAACAGAGTGGGTGGGAGCACTTTGGGGATTTCAAAGCCTCTCAGTTTTAAATTAATCAGTTTACATGCAATGAGAAACTCATGTATATCCATTTTGCCATCGGCATCAGTATCAGCCAATCCCCTGCAATAAAATCAATGAAAACTCTTTTACCACAGCATTACTCAAATGAACATACCATATTTGCCCCAAAATCATTGGAGGTAGCTGAGACTGCAGTAGAAATCCTTTTGCCTGATCTCCAGTGACAACTCCATTGATTGGCTTAAGTTGCCTGAACTGTTCTTCATATCTTATTCTTTCCCTGATGGGAATAACCCATGGGTCAGATGATGGTGTACCGGCGGCCGACATTTTCACTTCTTCAAACTACAAGAATCACTCTCATCACAAATCTAGTACTTATAAAACAACACCCAAGCCGCAAACGAACCTTTGACTTCGTCCGCTTTAATAAGTATGCACCGTAACGTTAACTAAACATATTTTTTTAAGTATTTCACACCAATTATACAATTTACTACGAATTCCGTATCTTAATCAGCGCGTATCATTATTGCTTGACACCCTTCTGCACCTATCTAATGTCACGACTAACGAAATTACGAACACAGAACGAACGCCTGCGAAATCGTTCAATGGAATCAATAAACTGCCGAGAGTACCAAACGTACAACTCGGTCATTCGCTGTCGGACCCATTTGGCCTTATAAATATGTGACATAGAGAATAAAATCGATCCGGACAGTTCTGGCACCTGACAAGCGAATATAACCTTTATTATAAGATAGCATAAGGCGAAACAATCAAGAACAGCCGGGAACAACCCACAACAACAACGACGCATGTCAAAACTGTAGGAAACTTTTTTTACTCAACTGATTTGAAGTGCTTCTTAACAATAATAAGTAAGCATACAATTTTGTTTAGTATTTTACCAAGTAAGTTAAATTATTCCAAAGATTATATTTAAATAATAGCAAAACAGAAATTTCATATGCTTTTAGTTATTCTATTGGCCGCTAGAGTTGGTTACAAATTCAAAAGTCAAAAAATTATGCGTACACAGCTAAATTTAAACAGACGATTAAGAACAGACGGTAGCCACTGTATATCCCGCGTATTCCTCTTTTAACATGCCTTGGAATTCAACACACAGCTTCATTCAATATTTTTGCCACTGCCAGCAAAAATACAGCCCCGCGATTTGTCGAAATTGGCACTGCCCCTTGAATCATACGATACTCACGCTACCCTTACTCGACCAGAGGGTCTCGATTTCGGTTCACGGAAAAAGCTTTTCCCAGCTTGCTTTCAGACGATAAAGCGCGCATGTGGTGGACACATGCAGTACATGATCGACCACGTCGTCATATAAACGATCGCGTCGCTACCACAGCGTAAATAGTGATAATCGTGATAATCGTTTGTATTGGTGCGCGAATACGATTGTCGAACCTGATGGTGCATCAGTCTAATTCCATCAGAAATCATCATACATTCCGGTAAGAATATACAATTGTATTAGTAAATTTAACCTTCAGACATGTAAAATCAGCAAGCGTTAACGTGTTATAACATTAATGTTTGAAGTGTGATTTATTTCACCGGTATTCAAGTCATTTAAATATCCGGCTTTTTACTTCTCTGCCGAAGCATGCGAGACATATGCGATACGTGTGCGCCGCGTGCACCAATTCGGCCTTGCCCCACCGTATCAATACGATTGGGTTGCTAGGATACGATTCAATCCAATTCAATAGTTATCGTTAGTTTGCGTTTGCGCATTTTCTTAAATTTTACATAGAAATTTCATTTTTGCATTGTACAAACCAAACAAAAAATATAAACACGTATTATTGATATTTATTATTTAAAAAATTCAATTGTGTCGACATTTTTCATTGCCACGTTGACGTGACTTTTTTTTCAATTTAGTAGTACCTACATACACGTAATACGAATTTAGAGTTATAGCACATGCTCGTTTGTCAATAAATCATAATTAAGGCTTAGTTTATGTCTGGTGTTTGAAGGAGTTCATTGTGTATTCATTCGTCACAATGTGAAGACTCACTGAGTTTTGTTTGGTGACATTTGACATTGATATTACAGGCGCACGACGCTACTGTTCGAATTTGATTCGTTGGCGAAATCTTATAGTGTTGCTTCATTATACATTGAAACAATGAAATACAAATATAATATGCTTACTTAAGCTTGAATGTGATACTTTTTTGTTTACACAAACTTATTAAAAATAAATTTTAATATTTGCTTAGTGTTTTTTTAAAGAAATTCAAGACAATTAATATGTTATATTAACTATTATCGTTATTTTTGCATTTTGGCACTTTCCTGATTTTGATTATTGGTAATGCGCACTATATTTACTTAGCAATGTAATAGCTGAGTTGATAAGACTAAACTCCCTCCTATTAATTTATTTTTAGTCGTTCTATATGCCGAAATTGTTTGGTGGATCAATAATTTCAATAATGATTATAATGAATATTTAAAGTGCAAATCAACTCTTTACGATTTAAAAATAAACGAAAATTGTTTAACTTTTATTATCACATAATTGCTAAGTATTAATAATATTTAAATATTGTATATCTTGCTGTGTAGTATTTCGCAACTTTGTCTACATTCTACAAAAATTCAAGTTTGTTTGAACATCTGAGCAAATCGTCTCGTATTTCACGCTTGTAGGCGTCGCGCATCTTCAAATTCAAACAAATCTATTCAGTATGTAAGACGAGGGCATGAAAAAATGAATTAGATAATGTCGCATAGTTCAAATATATCAGTTATCCAGCGCCGTCCCACCGAACCATGCCACCGATCTGCCGCGGCCGCTAGCGGCGACCAACTTAATGCAGCGCTGCTGTTATCAGTTGATATACACATAACGAGCGCAGCAGCAGCATTGTTACTCGTTGAAAAATAATTGCGCGTGCGTTTCTCACTTTGTTTATGAATAACCGTATAATTTCTAGGTTGTCGTTCGCATCACAATGGCCTACGACGACGTGATTCCATTACTTGGTAACTTCGGAAGGTAATTTTCATAAAATATATTACTTAAGTTAAGTACGTTATTTGAAAATAATATTGATTTGTTTTTTATGCAGATACCAGAAACGCATTTATTTCCTTCTATGTCTACCGGCGATTATTTGCGCGTTCCATAAACTTGCAAATGTTTTCCTACAAGTGAAGCCGGATTACAGGTAAGTAAAGTGACTTAATTTATGAAATCAAGTTAAATATGAAAATTCGGTTGTTTTTTTTAAGTTTTTGAAACAACGCGAAGCATTTTCCTGTCTAAAACAAAGTTTATGTATAAAAAACTTCAATTTATTAAACATTTACATTAAAACTACAAGTTAATGCTTTGTAACTTAAGTCAGCTTATGTACATACAAAGTATTCTTGATGATTTATGGTTTTACGAGTATAATTAATAAATTTTTACGAACTATTTTTAAAAAAGGTTAATCTGGGTCAAGTAATGTTCATTTTTAAGCAAAATGTAACTCGAGACATTTTGCATTACAAGCGAACATATAATATTACTTTTATTATCATTATTATGTTATTACTTTCGTCTTTTTGCGTTAATGTTTATTATATCTACATAAATAATCACATCTAATCTATGTATGCCGAGTATACTACACTTTATGTTAATAATGCTGATAACAAATCCTTTTCAGGTGCCAATTGCCCAATGAGTTCTCAAACGCAACTTTCGCGTTATCAGAAGCGGAATGGAACAGTTCAATACCTTGGGACAACATAAACAATAAATATGCTACTTGTTATATGTACGATGATGCAAAAACCGAGGTTTCTTGTGATCGTTTCATATACGATCACTCCAAATTCAATAGCAGTATCATCATGGAGGTAAACCCAATAAATCATCGAAATTTGGTTTTTCCGAATATTCATCACCATTGTAATCTCTTCTTATTCACTACTTTACTTGTTTTTAACCGCTAATATTTTGTTTTTGTGATGGACCATAGTGGGACATGGTTTGTGGTCGTGCTTACCTTCGTGCCACTGGTGATGCTCTCTTTATGGTCGGTGTTATGTTGGGCTCCATTGGTTTCGGTGAATTGTCTGATCGCTATGGAAGAAAACTGATCTTTTTCATCTCGTTGGTCATACAAGTGGTGTTTGGTCTCTTAGCTGCTGTGGCCCCTGAGTTTTGGACCTTTACGTTTGCTAGGTTCATTGTTGGCGCTACCACATCAGGTGTATTTTTGGTTGCCTATGTAATAGGTATGCAAAATGTAATTAAAAATGTGTTTTATGATATTCTAAATCGCAATTTTGTTTTTACAGCAATGGAAATGGTTGGGCCAAATGATCGACTGAAAGCCGGCACTATTTGCCAAATGTTTTTCTCTGCCGGCTACATGTTAACAGCACTTTTTGCATATTATATCACCGATTGGCGTATGTTACAAATGGCGCTTACAGTTCCCGGACTTGCGTTCTTTAGCTACTGGTGGTTTATCCCCGAATCAGCACGATGGCTCATCTCTAACAATCGTGTACCAGAAGCTAAGAAATTAATCTTCCGCGCAGCGAAAGAAAACAAAGTTACGATTACTGATCAACAACTTGACGAACTGCTCAAGACTGATATGAAGCCTGTGAATGTGGACGAAAAAAGAGCGACAATATTAGATGTCTTCCGGCATCCGAATTTACGGAAACGGTCTTTAATTATTTTCTTTGATTGGTTTGCTAACAGCATGACTTATTACGGCCTCTCATGGAATACGAATAATTTGGGTAGCAACGCATATTTGAACTTTGTTATCTCCGGCGCCGTGGAAATTCCAGCGTACACATTTTTACTGTTTACTTTGAATACCTGGGGACGAAAAACAATCCTCTGCGGGTGCATGTTGACAGCAGGAATTGCTTTATTATTAACTATGGTTATTCCTAGTGGTAAGTAAAAACTTAAAGTTTATAACTTTTACTTACAGTTTGTTTCTTTTAAGATTACAATACACTGTTGGTAACTTTGGCAATGATTGGAAAATTAGCAATTACTTCAAGTTATGGAACCATTTATATTTTCTCAGTAGAACAATTTCCAACAGTGATACGGAATGCTGGTTTAGGTGCGGCGTCTACTTCAGCACGTATGGGTTCAGTTTTTGCTCCCTTAATCAATGTTTTGGTATGAAATAAATTAATAACTTATTTTAGATTTTATTTACATTATCTTATATTGTAGGGTGACTTTTGGACTCCTTTACCTTTGATGATCTATGGAATTCTCGCTTTGATTGGTGGTTTGATCTCATTAGTTTTACCAGAAACACTTAACAAGACTTTGCCTGAATCTATAGAAGATGGAGAACGATTTGGAAGGTATGTAACATCTGATATTACATTTTACCATTATTTATCATTAGATTAAATTCAGACAACATTTCAAAGGTAAAGTAAGGGTTTATTAACTTAATCATAAGTGAATAATACTATAGATGTACATATTTCTATGTGTTTCTTGACTTTTTTTGTTTATTTTTATCCAAACGTGTTTAATATTACAAGAATGTTGTTAACAGTGGTATAGAGGTCAAAATCATCTCCTATTTTGATTATTTTATATCTGATATGGATGTTAACGTATTTTCAGAGTTGCAATAGAACAACTTCCAGAAGAATTATCCGAGCATATCATTGCGGATCTCCGTTAAGCTATACGAAAAAATAATACAGAATCTCATATTTGTAGAGTTTACAAAGTAACAAATGAATCTCGAACATATAGAAGTGTTATTTCTTAATAATTTTAAAGAAGGCAATAGTTGTTTATGGATTTTTAGTAAATGTTTGAATTATTTTAGGAAAGAAAAACAACTACCTGAAGAACAACCCCTTAATTCAGTAGATGTGGAGAAACCAAAATTAAACGGTACCAGCGGTGGTGAAGAAGCTAATGGTCTTTTGGAAACTGAGGATGGGACCAATCAAAAGCCTACAGAAACTGCGGAAGCAAAGACAGAAGCAGAAGCAGTCACAAATGATGAAAAGACAACTGAATCTACAACAAAAGACTAACTAGCTTTTTTGAACTATACGAATATAATTCCAAATCTTTTGTAATGGAGAGGAATTGAATGTAGAAAATATTTTTCTATGTGGTGCAGAAAATTTTACTACAATATGTATACAAATAATTAATTGTTGAGTTAGAAATCTGTGACCAACTGTTACAAATTTGATATCTCAATGTTGATGTTGCTGTAAGCCATGTAAGTTGTTGCAAACTTATGCTCTAGATGTACTGTTTCCTTTTTTTTTTCTTATTATGGAAATTATACTTTTGATTTGCAGTTGGATATTTTTGATTGTTCAACAAATTTTAATAAAGAAATACTTTATTTATTGTATTTGAGTTATCCTTTAATACACAAAAAACTAACATTGAAGCAAAGTTTCTGAGAGGTCTAGCTGATAGTATTCTCAACAATACTTAGATGGCGATAGTATGCACTTTTGGCCAAAAATATTGGAGTGTTATTTACAACGATCTACCTGCGGAAAATATAGAAATTTGCACAAAAACAAATGTTACACTAGTGCATTGGTTGACCAACTGATTAGATAAATATAAATAAGTGAAAAACACATATTTTGAGTATTTGCCAAGGAGCATATAATTTGTAGTGTCCAAGTTAGACCATAACATAAAAAGACGTCACTTATGCTGATGTGCGTACATGCATCGTCAACAGCATACTCTGGCACATAACGGGTTTCAATATTGGAAACAAAAATCATTGGAACTGTCGCTTTAACTTAATTTCTATACGTAAGCTTGCTACTTTATTTGATACTTTTACTCTTGCGTGCTAATGTTATTAATTATCACATGCAATACAAGATATTTTCGAAAAGAACATAAAATTTATTTCTTAAACTATATTCCTTAATTATATATGTGCAATACTTCAAACGCAAACAATATTCGTGTTATAATATAGATTTATAATGATAATTTCAAAACGTGACCATTCATTTTGCATGCTCACTTATTTATCTACCACAACTACATAGTATTTTACACCTACAGAGCCGACCACGCAGTGTACACGATACACGCACACGTCGCACGAGGTCTAGCAAGTGTATTAGTCGTATTGGTGGATAAGCACTACGCGGTTTTCATTTAGTCGTAATTTTGTCACTCGAGTCACTCGGTGATCAGTCGAAGCAGCCGATTCGGCAAGGGCAAAGCAAATGACCTCTTGAATAACACGGATTGTTTCTGCACTCTTTTGCCAACATTTCCATCACACCTCAGCTCAATATTTACTAAATCACAATGCTGCCCAACTACGCCAAGCACCTGTGCAAACGTGTTGCCTCAACACAAGTAAGTGGCCATAGAACATAATTGCATATGAAAATGTATAGTAAAAGCAATACGTTGCGTGTGGTACTAAATGCAATTTTGCTAACAATTTCAAGCAATGCCTCGGTGATAAAGTGGCTGGAAAGTGTCCAATTACATTTGATTTTAAAGTAAATACACACATTCACTGTTGTGTGTCTTTAATGATTTTGTTCTTCGTTTTTGCAGAAGGCACTTGGTTTGTTGAATGTGAACAAGAACAATTATGCCACTGAAGCAAACTTTGAAACAAAAGTGAGTGTAAACATACATTATCAAGTGTGACATTAAATAGGTTGGTTTTAGCCATTTAGATTACATAAACTTGATGAAGGTCCCTCCACAAAAGCAACTCTCAATAGAGATGATGCCCTTGCAATGTACAAACAAATGCACACCATTAGGAGGATGGAGACATCAGCTGGCAACTTGTACAAAGAGAAAATCATCAGGGGTTTTTGTCATCTGTATTCTGGACAAGAAGCAGTTGCAGTTGGAATTAAGGCAGCACTTAGACCAACTGACTGTGTGATTACAGCCTACAGAGCACATGGTTGGACACATCTTATGGGTGCTTCCATTGTTGAAGTCCTTTCTGAACTTACAGGAAGAGAGAGTGGTTGTGCTAAAGGCAAAGGAGGATCTATGCACATGTATTGTGATAATTTTTATGGTGGAAATGGTATTGTTGGAGCACAAGTACCTTTGGGTGTGGGCATTGCATTAGGGTTAAAATATCAAGGAATTGATGGAGTGTGTGTTGCATTGTATGGTGATGGAGCATCTAATCAAGGACAAGTCTTTGAGGCCTACAATATTGCCAAGTTGTGGAATATTCCGTGCATTTTCGTATGCGAAAACAATGGATATGGAATGGGCACCAGTGCTGATAGATCATCAGCTAGCACATCATTCTATTCCAGAGGTGATTATATTCCTGGAATTTGGGTGGATGGTATGGATGTTTTGGCAGTTAGGGAAGCAGCTCGTTTCTCTGTGAATCATTGCACAAGTGGGAAAGGACCTATTGTACTCGAAACTGCTACATACAGGTAAATTATTATATTTTAAGTAATAATTATATTTTTTTACTTTAATCTATATTTTTTATATAGATATTCAGGACATTCCATGTCCGATCCTGGCACAAGTTATCGTACACGTGATGAAATCCAAGAAGTGCGTCAAACTAGAGATCCGATTACATCTTTCAAAGAAAAATTACTGTCTGCAAGTCTTGCAACTGCTGAAGAACTCAAGGTAATATTAATATCTCATATGTTTCTTTGTATATTATTAATTTATGTATTTATGTAGAAAATTGAAATGGAAATCCGTGTAGCTGTTGATGAAGCGACGAAGCGCGCAAAGGGTGACAAAGAAATCCCGTCGAACGAGTTAACTGCCGACATTTACTGCGAAAACGTTGCTGGACCAATCCGCAACGTGACTAACTTCAATGCACTCAGTCACACAAGGATTGGCGCAGCTGTTAATAAGTAATACATATTAACAGACATTGAATCCCGAAAACTTGCTTTATTATCATGCATTTACATCTAGGCGATTTAAGACAGCTGATTGTGAACCATGTTGTTATGCAAAGTGTATAAAATCATTATGAATTGTTATTATTTATAGAGAATTAAAAAGTTTATACACTACAGCGTCCAGAAATATTTAATTTTCATTAAATAGTAAGATACGAGTACCCAAAACGATGTAGCCCAGACGTTTTCAAGTAATGTTATAAAATGCGTTGCTTCAGCTTCTTTGGCCGAAAGATACCAATGAATCGGGAAATAGTTGCCGTAAGTCATATTGTGGCCGACATACATCAGAATGGCGTTCATTCCAGCGAAGAGAAATGGTTTCCCGGTCCATATTTTCAATACGTCAATAATTATGTAGCAAAGTGAGAATAAAATGTATGCGAAACATGATGTGACCAACACGAACGACAATGACCTAAAAAGTAAGATGATTTACATAAGAATCAATGATTTGTTTATGTATTTACCAAAGATTTTTGTTCATTGGGATAACACCATCATCCCTTGAGAATCCACACAAAGCTGCACCAATTGCACCAGTGATTAGTCCCCAAATTATCCATCTGGTTAGTCTTTGACTATGACTTTTGTATAAAACAATGATGGTTCCTGCTTGAACGCCAAGGAAAACATGAAAAATTGTTGTAAGGCATCCTAAACAGAATCGCTTGTTAATCAAGATTATGCTTAACAAAAGTTTTGCAAGTTTTTACCCAAGATGCCTTCAGGATCAAATGGTTTTGATTTATAGATTTGAGTAATATATGCGTACTGATAGATATGTTTACCAAGAATCACTTCATCAATGTAACCTGCTGCACCACCAGTACATTTACTATATTTCTGGTCATCATGCAATCCTCCAGGACCTAAGTAACCACTAAAAGGTAAAAAGTAAATGAAACGCTCAGAGGGACGTGTTTTCAATTAATCTTACGTTGGGCAATTTGGTACTTTCAAACAAAATGTTAGTAAGCAATGTACTAGGACAATAATCAACATAATAATCCATTGCAGTTTAAGTTTTATGAGATCCAGGATATGTCGTTGAGAGTTTTTAAGTTCATTTATATTTTGATGTGCTAAAATGTTTACGGATGCTACCACAAAATAAGAGATGGCAAAACGTTGCAAAACGCCAAATATTCTTATTGTGTTTAAGTATGGTCCACCGCCTAGGAATAATCCTAACGCAAATAGTTTTATTGACCTCTGAAAATCAAATTACAATATTTTTAATGAGTAGATTCAAAAATAATTTAGCTGTACCTTAGTGACATTTTTAATGGCGTCCGAACGACGCGCATGTTCTTTGTTAAAGTGTGACTTGACCGAAATTGGTATACAAACTCCCATTATCCATAGAAATGATGGAAAAACTAAGTCACCAACATAGATTCCGTTCCAAACCGCGTGCTCCAGAAACGCATAACCGCCGTGACCATAATTAACAAAAATCATCAATACAATACTCAACCTGATAACAAAAAAAGATTACGTATATAATAAATAAAAAATTTACGTGTTTATGAAGCGACTTCCAAACAAAAGCAATTAAATTAAACAAGTAATTATGTATTAGACGATTATACAACTGCATAATTTTATAAAACAACCATAATTTTTATATTTATCGCATAGTTCAGAATGAATGGTTTTACATTTACATTTTCCTCTCGTACTAGCGACTTCCTGTACAGGTGTTTTCTGAGTCACTCAACATATTGATATTGTTGTAAATATTATTTAATTACTGATTTGATTTCTGGGCTACAAAAATATAAATAAATACTTGACTTACCCTCTAAATGTGTCAAGCGATTGAACTCGTTTCGCATTACTCTTGTTTTTATCTTTAGGTATAAACGGCAAATCCAAACGCTCAAATTTCAAATGTTTCCACAAGAACCTTCCGATTGGAATTAAAGAAAACAGACATAAGTAGATAAGAAAAACGGTCAGCATAGCTAAAATTATAAGTATTGCGTCAGTTAAAACAGAAAACAAATTAAGAATTCATTATTTTGCTAATTATTCTTACGCAAATAAATGTCAACCGGTTGTTTCAAAGTTGTAAAATCGTATGTATTGTTGTTAAACGATGCTTTATAAAATCCAAACTCTGCATAATCATAACCAAACGTTATTGGTCCAACAACATCAGAATATAAGTTTTCCGGTGAGAATTTTACATTTTTCGTTAGAAATCGATAATGTTTTGGAAATTTTGTATCCAAAATTAAAGTTTTTGGTAGATTTTTAAATATAATTTCATTAAAAGTGAATGGACACTAAAAACCACACAAAGACATGTGAATAAATAAATATTGCAAATATTTAACATGTTTTCTGCTTACCTTGACACAATCATCGTATTTTGAATACAAATATAGTTTTTCGTAATCTTTATTTTCAATACTTAAATAACACTGATCACGTTTTAATGCTTCCATATCATAATCCATGAAATATCTGTCTCCATAATCTTCAATCCAGGAATTTCCCATTTTAAAAAATATATTTTACTGTTGTGTTTTACAGCCAATGACTTCAATTAAATAATAAAATATTTGCAAATTGTTTTCACTTTAATAGTAAATCCATATCATTGTCAAGTAAGCATTAAATCAAGATTAAAAACCCGTTCACACTAATGAAATCAATCACACTCCAAGTGATAATGGAACACAAATGGAATTTATTCAGGATGCTGTCTGTTTTATCTTATCGCACGTCCAGCAGGTCGTCACTATCTCTCTAAACTGAAGTCAATATCAATAATGAAGTGAATAACACACGAACCTGTTGAGTTTATAACATTCTGATATCGCCGAACGGGAGTTAAACATAGTTGTAAATGAGTGTTATTATTTCTGTTTACCTTGATCGTTCACTAGTTGCCCGCCCACTAGTTGCACTACTTCATTCCTTTAGTATAGAATTACGTATTTATGAAAACAAAAGATACATGCAAATGCACTGATGTGGCTTGAAATGAATTTATTTAGGTCAATCAGTCGTAGATTTATAATAATTTCATGTTGAGCGTAAACTTTCTCGCAGTTATCTTGATGTTTTTCTTTTCTTTTGCTTGTGCAGAAGCGTTAAACTGGAAAGTTGATGGCACTCGAAGCCTACTTATTTTGAATTCGGTGGGTTATCTGGTTAGTACATAAGTTGACCACCAGGTGGCGCTAGGATGCCCAATTCCCGAATATTTTCGACAAAATTTCTATTTCATACTAAAAATACGGAATATTTAATATTTAAAAGATGTTTTAGTTGGTAATCAATTTATTTTAGTTATAAATGATTGCAAAGTAAGTAATACAGTAAAATATCAGTGGTTTTGATACATTTTGAACCAAAATAACTTGAAACAATTCCCCACCCATTTGACATTGGCAACACTGGTGATTTGACACAGTGAAACACTACCTTACCCAGCGCAAGGCGCAAGCCGTCGCTCCGTATGAACGGTATCTATCATTACGCCGTGCGGCCACCGAATTTCCTTTGAAGTAAAAACAAATAACGCTCCCCCCCGCCATCCGGAACGAGGCCGACGGCGAGCCGCACCGCAGCAACAATGCGTGACACTTTTATTTACTCAACATTGTTGTTATGCTGAGAGCGCACGGGCATCGGCATCGCGAACTGCTGATCGGTGTGTGCATCGGCGCGCTGTGAGTGTGGTATTATGTGCAGGCGACGCCGCGACCGCAGTGCGCTTTGCGTCGAGTGAGCGAGGCGTCCGGACGACGGAGAAGCCGTTCATCACGCTCAGCTTCCGACCGCTACGACCACCTCACGAAGAGCAAGTAACTGAAACGCTTCGGAGATGCGGGCAATAGCCGCGGCGGCCGACTAATCGGCAAGGCAAAAAACACCGGTAATCCGCGAAGAACGTGCAGAACTAAAGAAACCGATACCAGAGATTAATTGTGCGAGTACAAAGAGAACCAACCTCCAGGTTACTAAAGAACTACATACAGTAAAGCGGTGTATAATATTATAACAGAAAGTGTATGCTGGTGTGTGAGTTGTCGACCCCGTGTCAAAATATCGTGCTTATTGTGTGCGAAGTTGGGATTTAATTTTTTTGGCCGGGATTCAGTGTGGTCATCGTTACGTCAGGGGACTTCTTTTGGGTGAAATCGACACTAGAATCATCGAGGAATGTACGAACCCAAACCAGCATAACTTTGGTAAGTGGGCATCAGTGTTTTATTTCATGATACGCGAGACCAAAGTAACAAAAGACTTTGGGTTTTGGCATTCGGAGCGATTCCGGTTTTAGGTTTTCGATTTTGTTTTATATATATGACTGTATACATCTTGGTTGTAAATATTTACATTGTACAATTAGCGGTCGAAATCGAATTTGAAAACATCAACGAATGGAAGTTGTAATATTCGGTATCGTCTATAATTAAATCTTGAATCTGGCATTGTTTAGTGTCGAATCAAGGATGTATGTATTTCTTTTTTGATGGTTAACATGTTTTATTTTTAATTTGTGTAAGCTACTTTTATATGTAGTTAAAAAAATCTATCAGGAACTTAAATTTGGCTAAAATTTAGCTAATTGTGACCCTGAAAACCAGAAAAAATGATAATTTAATGGAAATTGTGTCGGAATACAACGGTTGAAAATTTCCAGATTATTTTTTGTATGATTTTCTTATCAACTTGCTTATTTACGGCGGCTCGTTATTTTAAATTGTTTATTGGAGTTTCGCTTAATATGGATCATGTTATTATAAGTGCAAATCGAGAAGAATAGGTATTTATGTATTACCAAGATTAAGTTCAGTGAAAAGAAAATTTAGTTATTTTTTGTTTTGAACTTTTGCCCGGGGTTTCGTCCCTTTAGTTTTTATGTAGAAATAATTAATTTTTACTTTCTTATCCAATTCTTAAGATATGAGAAATGCTCAATTATTCAGCTATAAATACTAATTTTCATCCCTTATTTAATACCCTTTAAATAACAATTTTTGATATTTTAATAGTTATTCTGCAATTCGGTGCGGAGATGAATACAAAAAATCATAAATAATCAAAATCTGTTCCACCGTTCTTGAGTTATTAATGCTGTAACTAACATGACTTGATTTTTGTGAATTTTTGATTATTAACACCTCAAACAACTTTTATTTGTCTAGTAAAGTCAATATTTGTTAAAACAAAACTTGAGGTAATGTCCACACCTCTCGAATCTAAACACAAATGTTTTATTTGCCCTTCTGAGCTGGTTGTGTTCGCGGCTTTCATTTTCCTTGAACTATCATTGGTTGAACCGGCCATCGCTAGAGATGACTGGCGACAGTCGTGTGATTTAATTTTAAATACAATACACACGATGACACTCGCTTCGCTTTGGTTAATCTTCTCAATCGCTCTCAGCCAACATGCGTACATAAATCATTAATCTGCTGCTGGATGAATGTTGACAGAAAGCAAAGTCCACTTTATAAACACAGATATTGAAACGAAACTGAACATTAGGGCGTAAAACTGCGATTGTCATAGTCATTCCATGCTAGATACATAACGCTATTGTTTGTTTTATGCACATATATAACATTTGCATACATAGAGTTTGAAGTTTCAACAATGTAGGGCGAGCTACACGAATCACTACTCTCACTCTACGCGTTTTCTATGTGTGTGTGTGTTTGTTTGTTTGCTATAATAATAAACTAATCATCGCGCGCTGGAGTTGTATCGTGTATGAAAATATCGCCAATGCTAATGCTGATCGTGTTGCGGCACGTTTGAATATAAAAATAATTCGGATCTTCCTGTGATGCGCATCGGGCGCACGGCGAACTGGAATAATGATTTAATCGCTGGCTGCTGGCGTATATAGTGTGTGCTACGAATATTTATTTAACACTCCTAGACTGACACTGACTTGAAATACCTTGATTTTATGCGTTTGGAAGTTTACAAATGAGTTTGCACTTTCTATGTGCACGTGTTGTGTCGTCGCCTGGGAAATTTATGAATTTTGTTTTATCACATGTGATGACTTGATCGATTTGACGATTAGATGTTGTATTATAATTGCACAACCTTGTAATCTGATTAGGCTGATTCAATAGGTGACGTTAGTCATAACAAAACTGCACGAGTTTGTTTTAGATAATTTCATGAAATGAAAATTTATCATTTTTAATGTCTCAGCAGTAAATTTTTGTTTTTATATTTATCAGGTGACAGTAGGCGTTATCGCAAATTATTTTCCATTCTATATTTAGTCTGTAATCTGCTAATATTTTCAAAATTGATTTTATTATTAAATCTTTTTGTTTGCAGTGAAATTTGAACAAGTTAATTACATGAACACTTTAAAGTAATTTCTATCAACAATTAAGGTTAATTTACAATGATGACGAATCGGTTTTGATGCAGTGTGTAACATAAGGAGTAAAAGTAACATTGATGTCGATGTGATTGTGCACACGTGAAAGTAACCTGATAATCTCGATTGGATACATATTGCTTTTTCTTATTCTTCTATGACATTAATTTGTTTATTGCGAGGTCAATGATTTTCCTTAAAAAATCGCATGAGTTATTATGTTATTCTACTTTTATTTAAGTATTTAATATTTATGAAATTATGTAGGTAGATATGTGAAAATCTAACTTTATTACTACTTAGTATATTTTCTGAGAATAATTATTGTTTATATAACACAATACTAATTATTGTGCAGCTAGAAAAAATACTTACGCAACCGTATTTATTCTACGAGTGTCATCTAAGTAAGTATTAAGTAAATTATAGCGAAATTTATTCTCAGTTTACACATAAAGCTATTTTACGAGTATGGTAAGTGAGTGAGTATTTTGAATACAACAGTTTTACTCAACTTTTAGACTTTACTTCAATCGGTTTACTTGGAAATTGCCTCCCAAGGATTTTATTGCAATTAATCATCACGTACATTTTTTATTCATTAACTTACTTTGCACTAGGAGTGTTTCTAACACGTTCATTACGTAACTCACACTTCTTATGATGGTCAATTATTACACATCTACATACTCTACTCCTAAAGTGACATAACTTTGTTTTTATAAACTTAAACCAAGAATATTGTGACTTATAAAGCTGTCTTATATAAAAATTTTATTAATTGCTAGAGAGATTACAATTTTGTGTTATAATTTAGTCTTATTGGTGTAATTGAGAACATTGAACTAATATTTATTATTATATCGTTGGAATTATTACTTCTACTAGTTATTTAACCATTAAAAGCGAATAATTTGACGTAATATTTATTGAATTGCATGTAAAGTAGTCGTTTACATGCAAGTTAAATGTTTTATTCATGACAATCTCACAATAATGAAATAATTTAATATTTTGCAAAAATTGAGCAAAAATTTAATATCACCTTGGACTAATTAATAATCATCTCTTTATCGATTGTTATAGCTTTAGTTTTAGCACACATTGTAATTTTCTACTGCGCCGCAACACAATCATAGCTCAGTAACATAATTTAAACCACAATTTGTGACATATTCGATGTGACTCATCCGTATTTGGCCATAAAACAAGGCTACCAGCGTGTGTCGCTACGCACTCGCCGTTTCGCGCAGCATAATATTTGATTAACTATGACGTGTCACCTTGAAATTGAATCGCAACTGTTTAGGTACTTGAAAGTGTGCTAATCACAAATGTTTGATAGCGTTTAACGAAATGGCGTGGAGTGGATTACAATAAATTACGACGTCTGCGGGGCGTATTGGGCCCGCGTCGATTGAATGAATCAATGCGTGCGCGCGCGCCATCGAAATTGAGTTATTAATAAATTGAGCGGTTAAACCAGTTTAACCAGTTAATGGATGCTTGTAGTGGTCAGGACCTTAGAGGTTAACATTGAAGAAATTGCGCTAATGATGTTTAAATCATTACTAAGTGCATTATTTATTCAGTACTATTTCGTAGGTATGTTTTTATTTCTAATTGTATGTGTGACGAATTGGAAACTGGTACTGCCTGGAACGAAAATAACACGGTTTGATATTTGAGTATTATGAAAACATGTGGTTTGTTATCATGATAGGTTAATTTTTTTTTCTGGGCGTGGTAGTTGGGTTATGACATTGTGTAAAATTTATTGGACAATGGGCAAATTTTGCATAATTTTAGTATTTAGGTATTAAAAAGACAAAGAAAAATGTTTGTTTCTTCAATTTGAAGAAATGATACTTTCTTTGCTATTTTGGTACTTATTTTTTTTTAAACAATGTAAGTTTTGGGCATCCTGCTACATTGTTTTAAAACAGGTCAATAAGAAAAGACAATAAATAAATTTACTTGTACATTATTATAAAGATGTTTGCAGTTGTGAATGGCATTTAATGTAATTAAAGGTAATTGTTATTTTAATAATTCTATTGTTTACTGTCATTTTATTATTTTTGAGGTATTCACCTTGGGTTGGTTTAATTATTTACATGTGTGTTAGATTTGTTGTCTAAATGATAAATTAAGTTGTACATTTGCTGGTTTTTATTTTTTGCTTAAGCAATTGTAGATTTAATTTTACCGTAAAAATGTTTGCTGATAGAGATTTTTAGTTAAAATCCAAACAAAAAGAAATAGCAACCAGAAAATTGTAGATCATGGAAGATCGAAAAATTCTCTATCAGATAAAAATATAAAATAATACTATTTCTAAATAATACTATGACTGAAAGTGCTAAAAAGTGACATTTTTCAATTTTTGCCCATTTTATTCAATCGCGAATATCTCGTAAACTAAAAGAGATAATTAGGATCTGATCGCAGCATCTTAATCTAGGACTATTCTCTATAACATAGGATAGTTAAAACGGAAATCTGTAAGATGAAATTTTAATCCTTAAGAAAAAAATTGCCAAGGGGGGGGGGGGGGGGGTGCTTGATAATTTTTTTCGAGGATTTTCGATAATTACTATCTTTGAAACTAAAAGAGATACGAACCAACGAATTGCTGATTATGAAAGATTGGAAAATTCTCTATCAGATAAAAATATAAAATAATACTATTTCCAATAGTAAAAGGTCAAAAAACGTGACTAAAAGTGCTAAAAAGTGAAATTTTTAATCTTTGCCCATTTTTTTTCAATCGCAAATACTTAAATTTGTGACATTTTTCTAATTAAAATTTTATTTAAAGACTCGTAATATATCGTT